GGGAAGCGGTCTCACTATCCAGTATTTCCAGTCGTTCGGGACAGACCCTTCAGAGAGCGATTTGTTGAAAAGGTTTGTCACGGCTGGTGAGATGATACTCGATAGGGACTTGAGTATTAGCGGGTGAAGTCCGTCTGGTCCGGAGGGCTTTGCACCATCGAGGTTGACAAGTAGCTGGTACACTTCGACTGCATCACATTGTGGGCTGTTGAGCAAGACTGGCGCAACCTGTGCCGGTACTGAAACCGCCGCCGGTTTACTGGAAAATACAGTGAGGAAGTGCGTAGCCAAGGCGTGCGCGCGCTCCGCGCTTGAAATGAGCGTCTCTCCGTCTAAGCTCTCTAAGACCGGTAAGTCACCCCCAGGTTTCAGTTGACGTTTCAAATAGGCAAATATTCTTTTGGGTGCAGTTGCGGCTGAGGATGCTAGTTCCTCTTCGAACTGCCGGCGTTTCTTGATCTTTGCGGCGTTACATAAGTTACGCTGTTTCTTGTACACCGTGTAGTCTTCATCACAACCCGAGCTGATGTATCTCTCCCAAAGTTTGAGACGCCGTCTCGCTAACTGTCTATATTCCGTATCAAACCAATGCGATTTGACAGGTCCGATTTTTGAATACTTTAGAGGAACAAACCGAGTACGGAGCGAGTTAAGCTTCCCCTTCATTAATGACCAACCGGCCTCAAGTGACACATCCTGTGGTAGTATCCAATCAGTCTGACTTGCAGCTTGGACGAGCCCGTTGAAGTCCGTCTTCCAATAGTTGAATGTCGGCTTCCGTTGATTGTAATATGGTAACGACAGTTCTAAGCTTGCCACAATGGAGCAGTGGTCACTGTTCGCCAGAGGCTCGATGATTCTGATCTCGTTCAGCTTCTGCTTGCAGCTCGTAAACATTAGGTCCAGACAAGATGCCGAGTGCTCAGTTACGCGCGTCCGTTGGATGACATGTTGCGTTGCCTCGATTTCAATAGTCATTTTAGCGAATTGTGCCTCAACGTTGCCATGACCGGGAAGAAGTCGAACGTCTGGCCAAAATATCTTAGGTAAATTTAGATCCCCCATCAATAAGAACTGAGAGCGGCTCATGTGCTTCTGTACATGTGGTAGCCAATCGCAACAACGGTTTAATGGGCTACGGTAGATAACCCCCACTATTAGTTCTACGCGTCTGAGGCGGATTGTGCACCACAATTGCTCGCATAAACTATCATCGCTCCGATAGGTGCTGGTGAGTTTACCAGATAGTGATGATTTTATGTACAACAGAACACCACCGTGAGCCTTTGCTTTTCGGTCGCATCGGAAACAAGAGTATCCTGACAACACGACTTCTTGTGGTGTGACGTCGGAGTTCAGCCAAGTCTCTGCAAGTCCCAAAACGTCCGGCCGCTCCGAGACAACAAAGCGGCACAGTTCGTCACGTTTGTTCATTAGGCTGCACACGTTGGCGAATGCCACACGGAGGTCCTGGGAGGTACTGCGGGACGTGCCTGGAGGTTGAGCAACCGGTTGATACGGGTCCGTACACCCTTCTTGATCACCCGAAAATTTACAATTTGTAAGTCAGTCTCACCTTCCTCTGTACGGCGTTTGAGCTCAATGACCGCAGTCTTCAAACGATCCCTGTCTTCGGGTTCCAAGTCTCGGCGGATGTGAACTTTTATATCTTTCAGCCTTGACAGACGAGACAGTATGAGCTGCGGCATATTGGGATTTGCAAAGGTGATTCTCAAAGGTCGACATGACTGGTTAGTTTTCTGGCCAAGTCGGATTACTTGTTTGATCGTCACACTGTCTTCGCCCACATCCAAGAGTCTATCGATGAGCCTCTGGAAGAACTCAACATCGTGATCATAACGTATCTGAGGGTTTTCATCTTTTGACTCTGGTACTTGGAAGACCATGAGATTATGACGCCTCAACGAAATCAGTGATGAACCTGTGGGAGCAGAACTAGAAGCGCTTAACTGATTGGGTTGTTGTTTATCAGCAGGTGACGTCTGAACTCGATTACATGGGCCCTTGCGTTTTTGAGTGGTCCATGGATCCTCGGTGTTCATTTCACAGACGGCATGAGAAATTCACGGACCGATCAGTGAAGCGGCATTTCGTAGCTTCCGAGTCTGAATGTCCCATCGGTGAGGAACATTAAACCTGGGGCTCGGCCGAAGTCGAAGACGCTGGTGGTGGTGCAGATCGCGGAGTGACAATAAAAGGCGAGGTGACAGAGGTACTTTCACGATGGCGTTTGATCCCACGTGGTGAACGGCTTGTTTCTATCTGAAAGAGAGATTTTCCCGTAGTTGTTTGCGGTCTCTGCGTATTCTGATGTCTTGTACCGCGACATTTATCACATAGAACTTGAAAAAAACGATGTTGGATGTCGAGCGATTTTCGAAACACGTCAACGGATAAGCCACTGCACGAAATATGGAACAAAACATCACAGCCGAAGCACCGAAGTGCATGGGCCTTATTTCCCACAACTTTCGAACACGAACCCCAAGTAGCTTGAGAGGGCATCACAAGCTAGAGCAAATCCAAGATGGCGGACAGAGGTGGCAGTAGAGCAAATCAATGAGATCTCCGGAAGTTGCCAAAGAATAGTCGCCAAATTTATACCGCTTGGAAAATACGCCAAAGGAAGAATATTAGTGCACAATTCACACAGATAAAATGCTGTTAACACAGTAATCTGAGGCAAAGTAGTATCCAGCACACGCTGATCCAAAAATCCGCGATGTCCGTGAGTACAGCCTATTACCAAGTCCAAGAACTGAACGCAGTAGGAACAACTACAGCAGCAGCACATCAACAATTTGATGTTTCGCTGCCGCACAACCACGATGGCCTAAGAAGCGAAGAATAATAAGTGAGAGAGAAAGGTGACCTGGCCTAATGCCTTATTGCCCTAAGCAGACATTCATTGTCAAGATGCTTACATCTTATCAACAACTTACCGTTATAAACAGCTGGATGCCATATAGAAATAAAGTGACGCCGAGACATCTTTCCGCCAGCTTTTATCTCTCCGCTTCGTAATCAGCCCTTACCTCGTACGAAACAAACTTTAAACCGGCAATCCGAACACGGCTGCAATGGCGAGTAGATGCATCAGGCTTTACCAACCTATCCGGGCCACTTAGCTCAGGAAGTTAGGAGTCAGCAACCACACTAGAACTTTTATTCAGAGTGATAAATATCTTATCCTATGTAAATACATTACTTTCAAGATGGTTCCGTTAACACATTGTTCAATCGTCTCACTTTCAAACAGTGCACTATTTGAACCATCAGCTCCTTTTTGCTGACCAATTTCTGTTGCCCACACAATCCAATGACCGTGTGAACTGTTTGCTCTTATGTCTAAATAATTATTATGAATGGAGGTTCCGAATCTCGAAATATACTTGGAACTGGTCGATTGGTCATGAGCTCAGAGTGGTTTGTGAACGGGCGGTTGGCGTGTTCTTTGGGACCCGTTACACTTTTGACACTAAAGCTTCGTCAGGCCAGCTAAATCAATATTCAGTTGGAACGATATTTTACAGCCAACACGGACGATAATCGCCGATAACAGAGACTTGAGGCAAGGACCTGTTGCAGTAGTTGTGGCTGAATCACTGTAGGTGACATCCTGGCCTGTTATTGTAGGTTGTTCAAGCCTAGTGTATTGAGTCCATCACGTTGGCTACGTTCAATTGCGGTAATCACCAAATGCATATCACAGGCTCGTCATCTGGTACGTCACTCACGCCTCGATTCAGTCAGTCTTTCGTTGTGTACTGTTTGATTTACTTATTTTTTTAATGAATTCCCAATTATCAATTTTCCCCTTTGTTTGTTTGTTTGTTTATGTTTGTGCTTTTCTCCGTACATCTGCTTATTGTTGGCATTCACTAAAAATACTCGTAGTTTTTTTATAGTGTGAATGAAGTTGTTATCTGTCCCACCTGAAGCTCGATTTCGAGGTGAAATGCGGCCTTGGTGGAGCTTGCTTCTCACAATTCATCCACTCGATGCATACTTCAAAATGCCTCTCCGCCTAGTCACTAATCAATGTGACATGCATTGCCCACCGCGTCTCAGTGGATTGAGGATAGCGACTTCGGTTGATGTCCCTTACTACCCCGGCTTGAGTCCCAATCCTGTCATCTCTGACGAGCGGTCGTGTAGTGCAATGTGGCGAACAGCCAACCTCTAGCAATCGTCTCGTGATGTGCCTTCGATAAAACCGTGGCGCATAAAAGTTGCGTTATTTTTGTTGGTAGATAGTTGTTATCCACGATGTTGTGTTGCGAGAAGCACTCATTAACCCGTGAGCCGAACTGCAGATTCTTTTCATCAAGAGGTGCCACTTTCGCGCTCTGTCTCGGACCTCAGTTAAAGTGCTTGAATTGTTGCATCTTCTTGACTAGGAGGAATAAAGCTGTTTTAGTCACTTCTTTTGGAAACAATTCTGTAATGCGGTACTCAGTTCCCGTTCTCACAGGTAGTCAGAATGACAACGCTGTATGACTATTAGTTCAACGAGGCTCGATTTTTACGCTTGATACTTCAACCTATCTGTCTTCTCATACAGACTTACCCGTGTCGATGCTTTGTGCAGAAGTGTGAACGATTTTTGATTTGGTTGTAAGATGTTCTCGGTTGGATTTACTGGTTACTCTCCTCTCTCCCTTCTGCGTTTATACGCCCTGCTAATTCGTTTTCGTACCACAAACTAGGCTGATAATTAACTTTCACCAGACCGCAAGTGTTGCTCCCATTCAATACTTCCACAAACACACACCTCTACATTGGCAGGAGATGAGTGCCGCTCAACTGTTGGGTCGATGTGGTCAAGCGAAGTATTCCGTGTGCGCATCCATGGTCTTGATTGGTGTGTATTGATCGTTATCATTTGATGTTTTCTCTTTATTTTCGTGGACGATTTGTCTTGTCCAGGCACATTTATTAATATCAGCGTGAATGTTTCCATCATCCATTCCTTCTAGGATTCTTCCGAATGCAACGGGGCGCTGTCTAGTGATGATGGTTTAGACATAAATGACAAAGTTTGCACTGAGAGCCCAACGGCCTGCGAGCATTCATCCACTGGAAAGCGAACGCTGCTTTCTGCCTGCGGTCGTCACACAGGCATGGATGAGGATGATTGCTGCAGCAATTGTTCCATTCACAATGCATTGCGGTCTGGTCAATCGGAGGTGAATGGAACACGAACGATAAAGATAGATGAAACTCCGCCCACCTTAGTGAATGGCGATATGCTCGATTCCAGCCACCAGCTCCCAAGCGGATGCGTCGCTAGCCGGCGTTTTGCTGTGACCCCACTTGATTTCCATGGATCGGATATCCACGTAAGTGTTTTTGCTTTCATGTTATGTATCACCGACGACTTAGGTACGACTAGAGGTATCGCGACCAAAACATGTGTTTATAAACGGTGGGCGATCAATTTACTACTCCAGTCAAATCTGTCTAAGGTGACCACACAAGGGACCAACAAAAGTGGTCGCCTTGGACAGGTGGTTGCCATAGACTGGTTCATGCATAGGGACATTACTCACAGAAGAAAACGTTTGGAATATTTTTGGCTGGTCACCATAGACAGGTGATCACCATGGCAGGTTGGACTGTTGATACGCCGGCGAATGAAGTATTATCATGCTCTGATGTGAAACATTAAAGGAAGTCAGAAGATTCATTTTATCTATTTAAAAAGTCATATTGCATGCGGGTAATATGGCCAAATTTCTGTTTCTGATCTTACTCTCTTTCGACGGCGTCATAGTGGATCTGTATACATATATGCTGAGCCGCATGTATTCACGGTTTTGCTTGTTGTCTTCACTGAATCCCTCCCATCCGCATCATCGGTTTTCATGGGGCAGGTCAGTATCGCCACCGCCTTTTGAAAATCCATCATTTTGTGTTCATCACCTTCGTCAAGTGGCTATCAGTCCCCCCTCCCTATAACGGAACAATCGAACATACGCTCCATATATGAGCTGCTGTTTAAAGTTTATCCCAATGGATCACGTATTACTCGCGTGAATTTGTGGCACAGATTTGTTCATACTACATAGTACCACGAATTATCTTCAACAACACGCGTCTGGTCACTTTGACCACTGTGATCAGTGTATGCTTGTACATTCCACTCCTATCTGATGCGCACGGTGTGAGAAAACCATTAGGTTGCGCTATTGCTCGTATGCCTCCATTTGGCCGTATTTTACAGACCCCGTCGAAAGCATTCGTATCGAGACGGTCGATCGTTTAGGCGGACATCATCATCAATAGCAGTACATCAGCTATTTGATTTGATGCTTCACTGCCGTACAGTCGTAGTGACCTACGAAATAATGAACAATATGAGAGCAGGGGGACCTAGCGTAAAATCTTAGTGTTCTAAACAAACACTCAGTGTCAAGACGCTTACACTTTGTCAACAACATCCCGTCACAAACAGCAAGCTATCATGCAAAGATAACGCGGCATCGGTGAGAGAGCTTCCTTGCGGCTTTCACTGCCTCGCATCATAATCAGCCATTAGCCCGCAGATAACTCAGCACCAATCGCACTTTAAACAGGCACTCCGACTAGGAGACGACAGCATTGGCACCACAGCTGCCGACTGCGAGTCATGTTTTGTAGAATCTCCCGTCAAGCACAAGGCGGGTCACTTGGACTCCAGCCCGGAAGGCGAGACGGACCAACGGCACCCGGTTTGGTCGTCAGTGACTTTTGTCCACCTTGAGTTTTGTGCCATCCCTACTTCTGGTAGACAAAACAAGGCCCTCCTCAGTAGGCAGTGACCAGACAGACCAGTCATTCTAGTGCTTAAGCCAATGCAACCTATTAATTGCTATTTGTTGTTCTAGGGAACTAGCACGATTATCACTACCTCGCACTCGCCTACGCACATCATCGTTGCGGACACGCCGGTGCCATCCGACACCAACGATACTTCGCAAAGAACGGTGATCAAAGACTTGAAGGCACCACAGGTCCTCAAATCAAAGGGGCCAAGTCTCACTTCCATGGGGAAGGATGGCCCTCACTGTGGCCTTGTATACGCGGACATTAAAACCGAGGGAAACCCCTTTCTGACGCCACAGATGTCGTAGATTCAAGAAGACAATTCTTGCTTTTACAGTCTTTGAGTTGACTTCAGTCCTTATGCGCCCATCGATGACGGTCCATCTTCCAATGTATGTGAAGTGATCAACTACCTCGAGTTCCTCGCCATCAAGGTTTCTAGGGGTCATCAAGTGTATTGTGATCCTGTAACAACACTACACCTTGGAGGTGCGAAGCGCATGCCAACTGATGAGACTGCTGTAGAGAGGTTATTCTGGGTTGCTTGGGCCACTTCAACATCGTTAAAACCAAAACAGTCTCGTTCGCAGAATCAAGATCAACTAGCTACAAAGCATGCATCGTGAGGATCCGCAAGGGGACACTTCAAGTGACAGTCCACTAGGTAATCGAACAAAATGGGGAAATTGGACAACTCTGATGAACTCTGCTTGTTTTCGGAAAAATATCCGTTGTCACCTTAGACCCTGATGCGGCCAGTGGTGTTCGAGCATAGGGCACGTAAAGTGTACACCTACTTGGTGGGGACACTTTTCCGCACAAGTATTTCGAGCAGGATGAGTCGATCGACTGAATCGAACGCATTCTCGAAATCCAGGAACACAACTGTTGTCGACCTGCTCTAGCAGCTGCTGTGTGAATATATGGTCTATTCAGCCCCGTCCTGGGCGGAAGCCTGATTGTTCTTTCATGATCTTGGATTCCTGTTCAACTGTGAGACGACGATTGAGAATTGGGGCCACCAATCTTGTCACCACTGGCGATAGGCCAGTATTCTGGTAGTTAGCGCAGTGGGCGCAGCTGCCATTGTATATCGTCAGTATAATCGATTCACTCCAGTTAAATGGGATGGGCTCTTCTTTCCAGACCTGTTCGAACAGGAGGGTCAGTTCTCTGCATGGGACTTCACTACCATCCTTAGAATGTGAGTGCGATGGAATCAGGGCCAACAGCTCGAAAACGATTGAGGGCCGTGAACGCGTTTCGGATTCAAGCCTCCGACAGAGCCTCTAAACTAAACGATCATGCTTAGCCTGCAACCCTGGTAGAAGAAGTGCAGAAGTAGGGGGACAACTGGACTGATCTCGAAGGTGCTCCACCTGCCGAGCCATACGGGCAGCCATGCTGTCTCTGATTGTCTCGCTGATTTTCTGTTTTCTGGGATCAATGATTGGATCATTTTGAATAGCTTGCAATAATTGCTTAATGCTTCTGCTTCCTTCATTTCTTGGGCCCTGCTAGTCCTCCAGGCTTCCTTATCAGCACTTAAGCTGCACGTTTGTTCGCACCTAATAGTTCGTCTGGTCACATGGGGCCGGATCACAATGCGTTATCTTCTGGATTCCAGCAGGTTCATCGACCTCTCGGATATCCAGTGACTGGCGCGGTGACGATTGATAGTGCCGATAGCGGAGGCTCCTGTATGGCGGCCGAGATCCTATTGCATTGAAGCTCACTGTCATTAGGACAAAAGAGTGAAAGTGCGGTACGCAGGGCCTGTCTGACCGAGATCTGAGAAAATTTCTCAGTTGGCAATCGTGAGAGTGGCTTAGAAAACCGATAGCATACCAAGGCATTCTCGCAGTCTACGAAAGTACTCCAGGACGAGCGGCCATCCGGGATGAAACGACGTCACTTGTAACTTATGGCAATGTGAACGACTTGGATCCATTGCTGGCCAGCTACAGGAGCACGCCAAGTGGCACTACGGCGCACACTGTGCCTAAAAGCTGTGCTATTAAGAAATGGCAGGTTCTCCGCACACAGCTGTGACAGACACTCGCCGTTGTCCGTACGGTCGGAGTCAAGTCCATACTTGCCACGTAGCTGAGCTTCAGAAGAGCTCAGACGCTCTACTTTTGCATTTATATCCCCTGCAGAAACTGATCTCTGAACTGGTAGTAGCAGGTTCAGTTCGTGGTAGACGGCGTCCTTCGCAGCACCAAAGCTGCAGGCGGTGGTGGCATAAGCGGTAACCAAAAACAAACAGCGTTTGGTGCTACTCCCTGAATCAACTTTGGTTGATCTCCTCAAATGGACTGCACACAAACGGTTGTTCACAAGAATCCAATCAACCAACGATGACAGCCTTGGAGCTGAGAACAATACCCACTCCAGTCTGATCAGTGGTTGCCGCATCAACGTCTCTGGATGCGTGCAACCAATAAGGAGAATACAAGCCGAAAGCACTTAGTTCAACAACCCAGTAAGGGTCATTAATCTTAGTTTCGAATACACTACACACGTTGGTACTCAGCGTGTCCATCGTGCGAGTGAGTGCAGCCTGTTGATCTACTTGTCTTAGAGTGCGATCGTTGGGCGCCTCCAGGGAAACGGGACAGCGTTGCCTTATAAGGAGCTGTTGGTGGTTGGTGCCCAGTTGGTGGTGCGAGAATATAGCTGCAGACGATAAGCCTCCAGTAGCATTGCTGTTGCTGCTAAGTAACGGGGATTGGAGATGTAAGAGAAACAGGTCGGAAGGAAAGAAGGGGGCCCAGCAGTGGCATGTTTTAGCTTAGCCGCCCTGCTGTATGCAGCAGCTAAGGCGACCCTTGATAATCTGCACGATTGCCGATAGGGGATGTGATTGAAATTTGGGGAAGTAGTTATGGTTGTACGTGGGCTGAGATACTGCCAGTGCGCCCAAACCTAGACAGAACGAGTAGGGTCCTCATCCAAAGCCTGGCTGCAAAGCATCGGATGTTGCAACGACTCAGTTTTACAGAACTGGACGCTGTCCCATTTCTAACTCCCATTTTGGATGATCAGGACGCTGGGTTTTCTGACCTCTAATCATCGACCAACCTAGTGCGGGTAGCTCTCAAAGGGCTCGGTGGCTCCACCCATTATAGGTCAATAAATTGAGGAGGTACGCAAACCGTCACATTACTTTAAGGTCCAGTTTCGTCGCAACTGGTTTAGGCTGACAAACTCACTCTCATTATCCTCTTCCACTGAAACTTGGCCGCGGTGTGTAAGGGTTTGCGAGTTTTAAACGGCTGGATTGAGAGTGAGCACGAGTGCTTCCAGTCGGCTCTGATGATGGTAGATATCCGTTCTGCCTGGGTTCCCACTGCCACCTCCTGGCCATGCCTCATCTGTGGTTAACATCGGCGCAGGCTTTTCATCTGCCGTGGTCGGGTGCAATTCTGCTATTATCAGGCCCAATAAGATCCTCGTAATAATGGGCAGTTGCATACTTGTTCTATATTTGCTCCCCTTTACCCTATGGGATGGTTTGTTGTGCCAAAAAGCAGTCTTTCAAGTTAATCTTCTCACGAAATGGACAGTCAAGGTATATCATTTACGCGCAAAATTTGGCGATGTTTCGCAAACCAGTTTCCAAATAAGTTTGTGATGCTTTCTAGACCGTGCTTCACACCAGCGGTGTCTCATCTAGCATTTGCTCTTCCAATCTCTCCATTTTGTCACTCATCATTGTCGTCGAATCGTGGCTTACTGTGTTCTGGAATGCATCAGGTACAGTGATGTTGCAGCAATTCTTCTACTCCCAAGCTCTGATCTAAAGGGTCATTTTTTTACATCGGTTTAAACAGCGAATCGCTGACTCTAAGTGTTTGCAGTATCTGTGCAACATTCTGAAGACTGTTTGAAAATTTCCAATAATTGTTTCACTTGCTCTCCATGTAGCCATAGTTCGCTTAACCACTCAAACCCACGTACCTTGTCGATATCATCAGCGGCCAACCGGTACCTTCGAGGCGCCACAGTTTGTCCCTATTCTGCAATCTTCTTCTACCCCTGTTGCATGGCAATAAGCACACTAGTGCACACACTAGTGGTGCTTGTTCCAGTACACCCATCACGATACGGTGAACCGCGGTTATCGATCGTTATTCTCACCTCTTAAGAAGTGATTTTGTGTGAATATACTCAAGTTGTTGACCTTATTTTCTTCCTCTGGAGACTACCCACAGTCAAACACTCATCCACTCGGCCTTGAATGTGTCGAGTCAGCGAAAATTGATCCATTTTCGCATCGGTTGGTTCAGCTTAGTTCAGTTAAACTATAATGATGCGGCCACCGATGCGCAGTGGATCGAAGTGCAATGACTGGCGTCGGCAGGATAGCATTAAGTGCCAACGTTGTACCTATAGCATTTAGACATGACAGAGGTGCAATGTGTAACTGCGCGCGTTTGCTGCACAATAGGAGACTTTGACAGACCGTTCATCTGTGACAATCAGTACACCGGCACGACGTTCGCTATAACTGTTTGGAACTTCCAGTTAGTCATGCTGAGGTTAGAAGGTTGGTGCCTGTCAGCCATCTCTCGCAAGCTCGCATCTTTTATGCTGGATGAGTTTCTTCGGTTGCCTGTCATCTTACAACTCGGTTGCAGTGAACTACCACTTCGGCTGGTCGGACGAGTCTTTGAAATAGCCAAAAAAAAACTACGAAAAAATTATTGGAAAACTGCTATGGCAAATGAATATCGTTTCCACTGATAATGGGGCCCTCGAATCTGTTGCAGCGTTGTAACCTTGTTTCATCCGAAAAGATTCACTGAGTCAATGGCGTATTTGCTCTTTATAGTTATTGATTGCCGTTAATCTCTTAATAATCACTCAGTGTTTTCCATCGATTTTCTCAGTTGTGTAGCCTTATCACTGATGGTCGTACCATCCAATAGTCTACTGCACGTATTGTTAATGCTGGGTCACTTGTGGCGATGGCAGGATGTGAGCATATTGGTAAAAGTAGGGTCTATAACACTGCGGTTTAATCAGTGTTAGAAAACTACCTGTGTTTGGCTACCACTACCTACAAAGTATGGCTCCTATCTACGGGCGAACAAAGGGAGCAGTGCAGATGCTCACAACCTAATCTCCGGTGACTCGTTTATCTACTCCGCCTGCCTCCATACCGTTTGTTTTAACCAACACTACATGGAGTTAAGTGAAACCCAGTGGTGGCTAGTCAACGACAGGACAAGGAGCATGAGAAAGGTTTCCGAAACGCTACATGTGGTTGTTTCATACTGTACTCCCAGAAGAATAACTAGGGACTGGCTGCATCAGTGGTTGTTTAGCCCACTGTCGGGTTTGGTGCGGTCAGGGAATCAGCAACTGTCTTGCATCCGTTCCCTCACTTTGGATCCTTACCCATTCTGAATACTGTATTCTGGGAGCAAGTAAAAATTTAAATTTGTATAACTCCATCGAAGAAACGTTAAAAAAGCTAAAACGTGTCGAGTTATTGTTATGATATATATATATATATATATGATTGGGGCATCCGGTTCCGGATTTGCCTATCACTCTGGCCTCCACAGGACGCCTGTACCTACAGAGGGACCGTGGGTGGCTTGCGCTGCACCACCCACAGCTCCATCCACACACTTCATATCCAGTGTAAGGTCGAAGGAATGAGACCGGGAGGCGTGTGGTTGGGAGACACGTTTCATCATTGGAGCTGGCCCACTCCTTCACAGGCAAACACAAGCACACTGTATTTGGGAATCAAGCGCACACAAGGCGGTGGCTGGACCGTAGTCCGCTCCACACTGAGTGCATGGAACCACTCTTCGAGCCTAGCACGGAACGGTAAGCATTTTGAGCCTCTACCACACAGTCCACCTGTCTTATGGAACGCTGTTTCACCGAGTGTTAACTAATTTTCCTATGTTTTTTAACTGGTTTGGATGGCTTGCTAACGCAGGCATTTTGTACTTCTCGCACAGCAGCTTAACGTCAATCCTTCGATTTTTTCCGGACGCCTGGACGAAGACTTCCGGCTAACCGTTGTATTTGAATAACCCACGACGACAGTCCATTTGACCTTAATAGTTTTGGCCTATTTGATGCAGCTTTTCGAGCAGTCTACCTTAAAGTCTATTTGATGCGATATGGATATAATACTTGGCTTCAGTATCACCATTCATTTTTATTTGTTCTTTTTATTCTACTGATGTCGTTTTCGAACTGTCCTGTTATTAATGTTTGCCCACTACAGAGCGGCGTTGTCGTAAACCATTCTTTGGAAAACAGTGGGGGGCAGGAAGCTTCGATCCATGCACCCAAACCGAGCAGCAACGATTTCCTGCGTTCCGGTGAAGCACAACCGGGTACCTTTGCTGGTTCCTCCGATCCAGTTGGTGGGAGCAAATCTGATGATACCCTCTGCCCTCTTGAAGTTGATCACAACCAGCATATCTTACACACAGGTTCGGCCGTCGCTTTTCCGTCGGCCCCAGACACCGTTCTAACCCGAGAAATGCCGGACGATGAACTTGGTCGTGCTATACTGCAGCGACAACGAGAGTTGCGGGTTGTTTGTGCCGAAAACCACAGTGTGCTTCGTCGCTTGATCCAAGCCGCACGTCGGGATATGCAACGACAAGAAATTCAACGACGATTAGCCATCGCAGACGCAGACGTGAGTTCGAGCATTGAACACCACATGTTCCCTGTACTGTGCGTTGCACCATCTCTGGTCTTAAGTTACTGCCGCCGTCTTTCTGAAAACCCGCGTTTCGGCCTCTCGGTTAGATTAGTCATTGTCGAGCCGTTGTCACCTTGTTAAATTGTCTTTGAGTATTCACAGCGTACATCATTACGGTAACTCAGTCTGTCTTATTCTATACGGTTGATGGTAAACGAATACCGTATGCGCATTTAACGAGACACATTTGTGCAGGAATGATGTTTTCATGTTTTCCAGTGTCCTGTCTTAGCCATCATTTTTGTATATAGATCACCTTACTGTGCACCTAATTGCTGATAGTACTTGGAAGTCCTGGTTCCCCAGGGTGTTCAAATGTCCCATGCGAGAGGTTTGCGTTCATCCACTTTCTTTTTGAGCACTCACGACAAAAATACTTGCTATTATTGTGTATTTTTCTCCCGTTTACGTACATATGCGGCACTTTTAGGTCCCTTTTCTTGGAACTCATTATTGCGCGCATTCTTTGTAACATCAGCCACGTTTTCACTTTATTTCCCCAGGTTATTGAGGCATATAACAGACTGGAAAGTTATCGACCTCAACGCAAGCCACCGCTGAAACGTGATCGAGACTCTGCATACAAAGCGCTCCGTGAACGCTGCAAAATTCTCAAGGAACTAGAGGCTTTTGACGCCAAGTCTCCTTGAGGCTTTTGTGCTCCGTGCTGGAAACGGCAGTCTGTGTCAGGTCTTTCTTTCATTCTCAGTTACTCCCTATTCTTGTCGCTGTTTCGTATCGCATCGTGTACATATACATCTATCAAACTTCTGCTGTACACTGCTTATCTCCACCTAGCTACCTGTTCTCTTTTTTGTAAATTGATTCCATTTGTTTTGTAAGGCCTAGACTGATATTGTCGACTGGGGTCTACTTACCTAGCCGTATACCCTTCATTGTTTCCGATCTTCCTAGTGCACCCCGTACCGTGTTAGCGAGCATCGCCGCGGTGTACGTCTAGCTCAACACCCAGCGGCCTGTATATATGTTACAGCCGTATTCGTCTAACTCAGATTTCTCTGTACTAATCATCAGTTCGATGGGCTGCATTGCGAAAGTATTCTCGCCTCCCTTGTCCACTTGACCCCATTTCTCATGCCCATTTGTGTGTATGTGACCACTCCTTAGTTTTTCTTATCCTGTGTTCTCGTCTTCGGCATATTTTCAGATGCCCATCACTAACACTGTGAATGAAATAGAACTCTTTTCTGACAAATATATCTTTTTCCTCTGCTTGAGACCTTTCCATGCATGTTTGTCACTTTCATCTCCGCTTCAGGCGTTTGGAGGCTGGCAATAATGATGGGGATTCGGTACTTACGTAGTACCTTTCCTGTTCCGAGTATTATAGTTGTTTTCTCGTTCGAATCCCTACTCACGTTTTTCACCATCTCGCTTCAACTACCATCCTGTCTAACCAACGTAGCTGTATTGCAATAGTATCGGCTTATGCGCGCCTATTCCAGGGCAACACATGGCCAGCCGAATCCCGCACCTGAATTGTTCCGTGGGTAGAGCGTTGTCTATTTGCACTTAAGTTCACTTGTACTCATTCACTGATGTTTCCATTGGTCACTCACCTTCGCATCCGCCCACTTTCACATCGTAACCTTTGCTGTTGTAACTAGAATAGGGATCGGCAGAGTCCTTCGCTGAGATTCGTTTGGTATTCATTGTACACCCTCACAATTGTGGTGTTTCAGTCGGTTGATTTGATCATCTAATTGGTAAATTTGCTGCCCATTTCGCAGGGCTTGTATTTTTTTGCAGCTTCTCAATCGTCCATGGAGGTTGGGCAAGACATCTGTAGTATGTCCATTGCGACCATTCGGATCAAAAGGTCATACAAAAGTCGATCGTATTTGATCACCGGTGTGTGCGTAACTTCATCTTCTACTCGGTTTCCGTTCACTGCTGTCGGCCAATTTATATCCGGCTCAATCCCCCTGAAGTCACATCGGGTGGAACTTTCTCTCTCCGTTTCCACTAGGCGACTTTTTCTCATAATCATCAATCACCTACCTTGGCATCTAGATTGGGTATAGCATCATGGTTGCCGCTTAAAATTATGGGAATGGATGGATCTGATCTGGCCGATGCATGCCGTTTTCCTAACTGCGGCTCGTGAGCTCGGTTACTGAGTAATCAGCGCAGTAACAGGGTCAGGGGCACTTGTATTCGACGCACCGCTTGTATTCTATCTACTACACGTTTTTCTTTTATTCTTTTGCTCTGCTTTCCCTACCTACCTCCAGTGTTCCTCAGCATACGCGTCCCTGGTTATAACCACATTCGATTTAGCACAAGCGACATTTCTATAGTGTCGCGCCTTTTCGTACTTACACCACTTTTCCGATCTCATCCTGTACTTCCCCTTGATCCTCATTGGTTGGCATCTCAACCACTAACTAAATAACAGCACAGCCCTACATTGATTCGCTTTTCCTTGCATATTGGCCCGTTCACATGATGTCTGTTACTTTGACACTTCGCGTCCAAACTCACCTCCAATCTGGTTGTATCACAGTACTTCAGATCTTAAGATTAATTCGATCGTTCGTTTCATGCATTTCAGCGATTTCATTTAGAGAGGGGCTTATGGGGAACAAACTGTCTCAATCATCATTATACAAGTTAGCTAGAGATGGGAAACATCTAAGCTATTGTACCGCAATACAAGAGAAAGGAAAAAATACGCAACAGAGATTTACCAACTCAGCCATAAGTAATGGATGGGCATCGTTCCGGTGAGTTAGAATCCGGCTATTGTGCAGCAAAAAGAAAATTCGGTTATGCTTAAAATACGAGATCGTGGTTGCAGGAGGGCAAAGAAACTCACAAGATAAACACCACTGAGCTTGGCTGCAATCACATCAACAAGTGTATTCAGCCAAATGTGTTCGTCTTTCAGGACCTAACCAAGAAGTTGTAGGACTCTAACCGATGCCAGCCTTCATTCCATGTCATCACCTTGCCTCTCATCTTCTTCCATCCACAGCTCCGGCGCGCAAACAGTGACCTCGCGGGAGTCGGTGCGTTGGCATGCGCAACACGTGGCCCAGCCATCGGAGCTGGATTCTTGAAATAACGATGATCAGCGGTTCAATTCCTCTTCCTGTGTCATAAACAAGGTGTCCACCACGCTCATAGCTTACACTGTGTTCCCGCTATATACAAGCCGAATTACGAAGGTAGCGATGGTCGAACCTAACTAGTGTCTTAATGTCTACCGATCTTACAGGCCAGGTTTCACAGCCATACAGTATGGTCGAACGTACAGCTACATTGTACACTCTACCTTCCAGGGCGAGAGTAATGTTGCCCCGACGCCATAGGTGGCGAAGGCTACCGAAGGCGCCTCGAGCTTTTGCTATACGATTCGTAACCGCGTCTTCGATTCCACAGGCGCTGATGCAATTGCCTAAGTAGTTAAATTTCCGTACGACTTTTAACTGATCCCCACCAAGGGTCGGCGCATGAGGTCGTCCCTGCCAATCTTGCACTTCGACGGTGCAAATCAAAGCCCGAAAACGTCAACCTCTAGTGCTAATCAGTCTAGTGCTGCTTGACTCGTTTGTATTTTCACATATTGGGGCAGTTTCGTCGATATACTCTGTCAAGAAGTCGTTCACCTGAGAGCAGTTCCACACCTAAGCCGTGTCCAGTGAACACGTTTTCCATGACTTCGTCTATGACGAAGTTAAAAAGGCATGGAGCATCTCCGTCTTATTCCGCTACAGATATTGAGGGGCGGTGACAGCTTGCCGTAAGTCTACACTCTGCCCGAGCTACACGCGTACAGCGCTCGGATAGTATTCATGTTTTTCTCGGACACACCTTTCCTTTCGATTCGCGGAATCGAATGCACTTTTTATATCGAGAAACAGGGCTACTATGGCTCACCAATAAATATTATGGTGCGCCAGCAATTGACTAGAGTTTAAAAAATGATCAATGCAGCCTCATTTCGACAAAACCCGGCTTACTCTTCACGAATTTGACTTTCGCTGATGCCTGTTAATCTGTGAAGCTTGACAGTGACCAGTATCTTAAAGGCTATGGAGATCAGACTGATTGCTGTATGGTTTTGAAGTGAAACGCTCACCAACGTTATTTCACGAACTAGGATTTGATGGCTGGAGGGTTTAAGATAAGGGATAGAAGTGAACTTGGAACCTGACGATAGGGATGAAAAGGTGCAGGAAGAGAATAGGAAAATGGGTAGGCTCAAGCAGTGGCCTCCAAACCCGTAACTACTCTGCTCGATGCAGCAGATGGGGCGCCATTGACGGTCAGAACATCAATAGGAGGAGTTGATTGTAGTGCGTGAGCGGGATACCATCGGGTCGCTTAGGCCTAGACAGGAGAACGATTAGGGTTCTCGTCCAAAGCTTATAGCTCAAAGGGGGCATCAGCAGTACGCCGGTACGCTGTATCGACGCTTCGCTGCCACACAATTACCACCGGTCGCACGTGGGTTAAGGATACTGCGAGGGTTCGAACCCGTGCCCTCGGAGTACAAGTCAGGCTTGGTTCAAAACCAGGCCGCGAGGAAGCGGGTTTGGCAGTGGGTTGCTGAAAATCCGTGCTATAGTATGAGGAGCCACGCTCATCCTAACCCACAATTTGGACGACAAAAAATTGAGTTTGTTTGGTCCTAACCATTGATCGACCTGTTATGAACGACTCTGAAGATGCAAGAAGCACCACACAGCACGTTTTGCTGGATCGCTGAGGTACGCAAACCATCGCATCACGGTATGGTTCAGCCTCCTTACGGTCTGGTCCAGTTTCCATCAATTCTATATTAATCGCTTCCGCACCACTGGCATCCATTCTGCTCCGAGGCTACACAATTCGTGAATAACCCACGAACTACCGCTGACTATTGCTTTACACCTATGGGTCGATTTAGTATACTGCGCCAATCCTTTGGATACTGTCACCACAGACCTACCATCGTTATCTTTCTAGATATCCGGGCTGTGTTTGTTCCCGCCGATCGATCTCCTTTATGGTGTTATTCGCCTCAACGATGAGTTTTCGAATTATACGCTACCTCACGTCGGTTTCTATACCTCTATGTCTGGTAGAATGGTGGTTATGTCGGGGTCCTTAATCCTTCGCCGCGTCTGGTAGGGGTACTCGTTTTCAACTTTACAATTAAGGATATCCTGTTAAAAGTTCCAGAGCAATCTGCCTCGTTTGTGCTACTGTTAGCGCTCTTGTTGAAGTCTCCCGGGGCATTCGTTTGATTTTCGTGCAATCTGAAGCGTCTAGCATGATACTTTATCTTCCGGGGTGTAAAGTACTGCTTTCTCCGCCCACACTTCAAGACTACGAGTGAGCAGCTTTTTCCACCCAGGCAGCTGAACATATACTGGTGGCAGTATTTGAAATACGGCATAAGTGTATGTGTCCAGAACATGTTCAGCGTTTTACCAGCTGAGACATCTGTGACCTATACGAAATTTCAGCCCCTCATTTAACGGCAGGGCTCATGACACCATTGCTCGCACGGTGTTGCCGTATACAAACGTGTACAGCCCCGCACACTTGGATAACACGTTTGCTTTCGATCTTCCTCGGTGAATCAGCAGGAGTTCGCCTGCTAGTATTGTTGTCTATACTTTGGCGACAGTGAATTCGGACCTTGTGTCTTGCTGCACCGGTTGAGCTGGCTCACTCACATCTTACACATGTGAGTGCGTTTAACACATTTTGCTCCATTGGCTGGTATATGACGCTACTAGGAAAGATTACGTGATAGTCTAGCTATCACTTGCTGTTTAGGCATCTTTGATTCCGTAAACCTTACTAGCTGGTTATCCAAGATCAAAGGATGCTGATACTCCGAAACATTAGATTGTTTTCTCGTCGTCGCCGCCCATTCTCCAACTCCATTTTGTTCTCTGACTAATAAAGATGTATCCCAACAGCTTTGCACGAATACATGTAGGGTGAGCGCTCCGCACATAATTCTAGTTTCTTAAGCTATGACTATGCTATCAGTTTGACTTAGATTTTCGAAAACCTAAATTAGCGTTCTTTGTATGCTTAATTCTGAGTACACGGATGATTGTGAGCGTTTAGCGGAGCCCCGTACGCATCATCTGCCTCCAGAGCTCCCGACTTCTAGACGCAGTAACCGCCGACGTTTGCACGCTGAAACACTTTTGCAATTTAACTACGTTGCTTATCGAGTGCGTGCTAAAACGGTGTTTGTAAGCATACAGGGGTGATCGAGGAATAGAGGGGACATTCTTATCGTGTTTCCGCCTTAGGCTGCTCTGGCCAGTTCACGTTAATCCGAGACTACAGAAGTTAACCAGTGGTTAAACATATGCAATGGTGTCGATGCGCGTCATATAATTAGGTGATTGTCTACTTGCCAAACTAGCTGCAGTGCGTCGGCATGCTTTTGGATGCAAATATTCGATCTTTTGAATCTGATGCTTACTGCACCCGTTCCGTTAATCTATGAGTGAGTTACCGTGATACTCTGTACATTCGAAAGCACTTTACTCATAGATTTGTTCCTAATCGTTAGTGAGATACTCCTCAAGGGAACAACATTCCAACCATCGCAATGAGACCGAACCTTAACTCGGCGCGATGGTTTGTGTGCCTCAGTGGTCCATTGAGCTGTGCTGGGTGGTGCTTTTTTGCACCTTCAGAGCTACTCATACCAGCTTGGTCAATGGTTAGAGGCGAGACAAGCTCAGTCTCCTGGCTCTCCAGGTTGGGGGTTGGAGTGAGGGTGGCTCCTTACTCCACAAAACCAACTCGTTGTATCCCTCAGCGGAAACCCCGCTGCCTTGCGGTAAGGTTCTTGAACCTAAGGCTTAAGTTGAGGTCCCTGATCGTTTTCCTGTCTAGGCCTGAGCAACCTGACATTATCTTTCCCACGCTGTACAACTCTATGACTTTCCCTTAAAACAATCCCTTGATGTTCTAGCCGTCGCAGAGGATAAAAACGGCGCCCTATCTGCGGTGTTGAGCAGGGTTGCTAGGGATTTGAATGCCACTGCTCAAGCCTTCCCGTTTCCTTATTCCCCTTCTCGCGCTTTTTCATCCTTATTTTCCCGCTCCAACTTCATTTTCCCCTGTTTTCAGTCCTCTAACTTTGGGCCTTCCCCCTACTTGCTTCAATAATCACTTGTCCTCTAGTTTCAACACACGCAATCGCAGGGTGCTGCCCCACTCCAGTCGACCAGTCCATCTTCAACCAAGCGGAAAACGTCAGTTCATCCGTTTCTCTTTGGAGTCCTCCATCCTCGCTAAGACTGGCATGCTTCAGCGTGCGCATATGTTACAGATCCACCAACAGCTAGCACTTGCCTGAACACTAGAGACCCCATCGATCGACATTTGCTGCTTATCGGAAATCCCTTTGCAAGATACATGCTCCGTTGGAAATTCGTGAGAATATTTGTAGCTCGGAATGCAGATGAGGGTATGCGGGAGTTCTCCGAGCTGGGTAATTTGGCTGCAGACGTTCCATCATCAGGCTAGACGACATCATCAATGCGATTGATGCGACCCATTTACAGATCCACTTGCATCTGTAAATTCAAAACAAGTAGTGTAATGTTGAATAACGTGTTATTAATTTTCTGTGAGATGTAATTGGAGAGGAATCTAAAGGAGAGGGGGCCAACAAAGAAACTCGCAACACAAACCATTGAGGCCGCCTCTTCGCCATATAAGCAAGGGTGTCCAACCTAACGTGTTCATCGTCCTTCGGTTTCCAGCCCGGCAGTCAGGAAACACCAATCAATGACAACTTCGAGGTGAAGGCTTTCATTCCTCTCGACCAAGTCATCGCTTGGCCTTCTCTTCCATCCACATCTCGGACGCGCAAGCAACGCATGACGCGGGATTCGTTTGGCTGGCATGCGCAACACATAGCCCAGCGATCGGAGCCTGGTGTGTGATACAATGATGCTGAGCGTTTCACTCGCTCTTCCTGCATCAAATACGCGACGTCAAACACACTCATTGCTCACGCGGTGCTCCCACCAAACATGAGCTAAGCTGCGAAGGCAGCGATGATTGAACGCAGCTACCCTCTTTGTCTGTCGACCTGATGGGCCAGATTTCACAACCGTATAGAAGGGGTGAACGGACGGCTGCGTCATAAATTATGTCCTTTAGGGCGATGGTGATGTCGTATCGACGCCATAATTGATGAAGATTAGTAAAAGCACCTCGGGCTTTTGCTTTATGGTTCGTGACTTCATCTTCAATCCCACTGGCGATACTATAGCTGCCCAGGTAGATGAATTCCTAAACGACTTCTAGCTTATCACCGTTAAGGTTCGGCGCAGGGATGGGTTCGTGCCAATCCTGGAGAAACACTTTGCATTTCGACGGAGCAACGCATAGCGAAAACACTTGGTAACCAGTGCTGTCTTGACACGTTTGGGGGCTGTCACAGATGAGGACAATGTTGTCAGCGTACTCCAAGTCAAGAAGTCGTTCCGTTGCGAGCAGTTTCACACCTTGTAACTCGTGTCCAGCGAACGCTGTTTCCATGACTTCCTCGCTGGCGTAGTTGAAGAGGAAAGTTGGACGCCTGCAACCTTGTTTCACACCGCTGGAGATATTGGTAGAGTGGCAGCAATTTGCCATAGACCCTTACTCTGCTCGTACTATGCGCGTACAGCGCTCTGATAATGTTTACGTTTTTATCCCTCTCTTTCCTGTGCGGACAGTAAATTAGGCAAGCCTCAATTGTTCAGGATCCCGGTGTATCACTGTCAACACAAAATTGAAATTAAACGGGCGGAGAGGAAAAGTGCTGTTCAAGCCACTGCTCAAAGCAGACATTCGGAGAATTTGTGACACACAATGGACATGTGAAACTGTTAACAATGTCAGTGGACAATCATTGACGGCCCAACGACAGTGAGGAAAGGGTTCTAGATGAACGTGAGGTACACACAAGGCCGTAGTCTATGGTCAAATGGATGACCTGCAAGTCGCTCAGACTGTGGTCACACTGCTACAACACTACGAAGATAGCGATGTCAGACCTTGTGCATGTGCCATCTGTTGTTACCTAGACAAAATTAAAATGGTGTCAAACATCGTTAATGAGAGAATGAAGGGGTAAACCAGGTGTGAATCAGTGTACAAGGATCTGGGCATATGGAGGATTGAACAGTTACTAAGGCAAGCACATGGGAGCGGTAATTTTGAGGGTGATCGTATTATCTGGGTTTTCTGAGTACATGCTTCGATTCACGAGTGGTTTTGGCAACCACGATGAGAGGTCATCTGAAGGAAACAATAAGTACAGTCCATTTGGCAACCGAGCGCACATTTCAGAGGCATTTTCCAACCAGTGCAAGACTCCGCTACAAGTGCTGCTATTGCATCCGGTTTTATCGTTCTACCGTCGCGATCACATTTGCTTGCGGCCTGCCTTCGAATAACCAGTATTGCTACAGTTTCGAGGTGGAACGATCCTCGTTATCTTATTCGTTCATATAACCGTCCCACTTTGTGGCTAGTTACTACACATTACTTCTAGCTGCAATTTGTACCTTTCGGTCGGTTGCTAGGACTCTGCTTGTGTGCACAAATCAGTTTTGACTATGCCGGAAGCATTCTTAGAGGTGTGTTCGTACTCTTTCCTGAGCAACAATTAAGCGAGTAAATTACTGCTTCATCTAAGTGGTTGTGCCGTCTCTGGTAGTTTGTTCCAGTTACCACGACTCTCGTTACCAGAATAACAATAACTAACAAGGGTACGAAAATGAGGTTGAACGCAAATGGAACACAAAGAAATGCACAAAACTATTTGCATGCAACCGAATGTAGAACGTAACTGCCTGTGCCACTGCGGCATGTCTGCTAGAGTCTCCAAACACGTGTGGACTATCCCGGCGTCCCAATCCACGAAGACCCCACGAACTAGTCTGACCAAGTCTCACTCAATTTCTCCATGCCTATGTGACACGTCATGGACTGGCCACCTCACGATTTCACCCAACTAGGTGAAGTGATGGTGTATAATGCACGCCGAGCAAGCTGGCGTTCGGAGGAAATAACCTAGCCAACGTAAGCGGATGAGCTTAAGTGGGCAATCAAGTGAAGCACCAGAAGGCCACTTAACAAAAATCTACGGTTGAACCTCACCCGGTGTTCTTACCGGATGTGATCGATACTCCATAAACACTGGTGATCAGACAGGGTCATGCGTTTAATGTCTTCGCTGCGAACTGGCCAGATATATGATCCATACAGTAACACCGGCCTTATCGCAACGCCATACACCTTACCTTTCACTGACAAGTGATATCCCATCGTCTCCATAGATGATTGAGCCTCCGGTAAGCCAAATTAAATTGTTTATCTATGAACTTGTAGACCACAGCATGTTTTTGCCGTAGCTGTTACTTACTTGACAACCGTTTTGAGTACAGTAGGCGACCCCTGATCACCAATATCTGCGCTCATCACTTAGCTGGCAAAGTCACCCAGCTTGTGCCTGAGTTCCGCTGTTTTGCCTATGGTAGCGGGCTCTGTGGCGGCGCGTTGGACTTTTTGACGAACTAATATTATATCCATTTGGTTCGAGTTTGTCGCATACATACCAACCGCCCCCCATCCACATTTCTGGATGATGAAACCACATGGAACCCCTTAGATAGGGTCACTGGATCGAGCACACAATTTACTCGAAGTCCTAATACGAGTTTACTGACACTATTGCAATTAGTCTGTTATCATCATCCCGGCTCATCCCCAGTTTACGGGGTGTCGTAAGAAAACCGATGCAGATGACTGAGGCAGTACACCCTGTCGTGTCGTCGGTTTGGATTTGGCTTCATTTCGACGCACCGAATATTGAATTTGGTTCACGTTCCCATGTTCACGCCGCTGCTGCACGTGCGCTCACCAAGCAGCACTCGCGGGCACCGATACAAGCTTGTGGTGCCTAACCTGAAGCGGATAGGCCACTCTCTATACTTCAAGCGTCGATCGGTAAAATTTTGAAGCCGTTTTCCCAAGACTGGTGGAAGCGAAATCGGTGTCGGAATTCAGGCAATTCCTAGACGCCCATTTTGCTTATTCCAGATTCCGGGAGCGCATCTAATCCGAATAGCATATGCCGCAGCTGCGAACGCACAGGAATCAATGACGTGATTCCGCGCACATGCCCGATCCAGCTACAATGAAGCAACACAGACGT